CCCCCCCCCCCAGTTTGAATGAGGGACAGGGGAAGCGGGAAACCTCTGGGGACAGCCTGACCCTGTGGTGCCCTCCTGGGAGGGGATGGGCAGGTGCTGGGTAGGTGGTGGCCCCCTGTCACCTTTGACAGAGTAAGCAGAGGATCAATTCACTTCACCCCTGCCCACCTCATGGAGGACGTCCATGGGCACTGGGCCCAGGGGGCGAGGGAGGCAGGGCCAGCGTCTCACAGGCTCACTCTTGCAGTTACATCCCGGCCATGGTGGACCACCGAGGGGGGATGCCCTGTATGGGGACCTTCCTGCTCCACCAGGTGCGTGGTTGCCCTTCCCTACTGTACTTTTGCCCTTGCCAGGACTCAGGCCCTGCCCCTGGATCAGACCCTGCCCCTGGTTCAGGTCCCACCTCCAGATTAGGCCCTGTCCCTGGATCAGGCCCCACCCCACAATTCCTCAATCAGATGTTGGCCCCTCCCCAGCCTTCCCTTACCCTGGTGTGGGCCCTGCCCTCTGAGGTTCAGCCCCACCCCAGGCCCGGCCGCTGTTCTGTGTCCTGATGGTGCTCTCCTGGCGTGCAGGGCATCCAGAGGCGCATCACCGTGACGCTGCTGCATGAGACAGGCAGCCATATCCGCTGGAAGGAAGTGCGCGAGCTGGTCGTGGGTAAGCAGGGTCCCCCAATCCTCACCTGGAGGCCTAGGTGGTGGTCCTGAACATGGGCTCCCTCACCCAAGGTATCAGGGCCTTAGTTCTGCAGGTGAAGCCACCCCCACCCCCTGTTGACCCTTCAGCCGGTCAGCAGGAGGCCCCCAGGTGTCTCCTGACCCTGGGACGTGCGGGACCCTGGCCCACTGGACCCAGAGCAGAACTCGGGCGGAATGTGGGGGCTACTTTAGGGGGTTGTGGAGATGCTGGTGTTGATATCCCCTCCCCGTAACCCTTCTGGGTGTCTTGGCTGGCCCTGTAGCCAGTTCAGGGTGGCAGAGTTTGCCTCTATGGGAGGGGGTCTCCACCTCTCTTCTGATTCCTGGGACCCCAAGCTAATTGCTCCTATGTGTAATCTGAGCCCACTGCCCCCTATGAGACCCCACTGGGTCCTCACCTGTAGGAAGGTCCCCTGAGGAAAATTTGCACATATCTGTCATTCAGAAACAGGAAGGTTCCAGAAAGTGGGCTGGGTCTCCCCACACAATCTGACTGGGTCCTGGGTTTCAGTGCCACTCCGGCATGAGGGGGGAAGGGGACCCAGTGGCAAGGTGCTTTCCTCTGCCTTTGGATAAGCAGAGGCCAACGCAAGTGTTACTGGAGACCACAAAGGCAGCAGTTCAAAACCACCAGCTGCTTCTCAGGAGATGAGGTTTCCTACTCCCATAGTGTTACAGCCTTGGAAACCCACTGGGCAGTGCTCCTTTGTCCACCAGGTCACCAAGTCAGACTACCTGATGGCAGTGAGAGCTGGCTTCTTTTTGGCTTTGCCGGACCGAGGGCACAGGGCAGAGGCACAGGCTCAGAGGGCCCCTGACTCAGGTGTTCAGGATGTGCTGTCAGTGCTCCGAGTACAACTCAGGGAGAAAGATGAATGAAGCCATCTGTCAAGATGGCAGCCTGGAGCCTGTGGACGGCTCTCCTGTCCTACGGGGGTAACTGCGACAGCTCCTCTCTGTTCTACGGGGAGTAAGGATGGTGGCATGGCAGCCTGTGGACGGGACAGTCCGTCTCTCTCCTCCGGGCTTGCTCTGAGTAGGCTTGGTGGCCATTGGTTCTTGGGGTTTGTCTTTTGTCTCAATGACAAAGAGAAGAGGGGCATTTTCTTGAGAAGGTTTGGTTCTGTTTCAGTAGTTAAGAGGGAGGGCTTGTGCTTTCTAAGGAACTCTGGTGGTTCCGCGGGCTACGTCTTGGGCTGCTGACCGAAAGGCTGGGAGAAATTCAAGGCCGCCTAGGAAATTCGAGGCCCCTGGGAGAAATTCGAGGCTGCCTCGGCAACCCCACGGGCAGTTCTGCCCAGTCCTTCAGGGCCACTGAGAGTCTGAGTGGACTGGTCTGCAGTGGGGTTGGGGGTGGCATTTTCTAGGTACATGCTCCATCTGTCAGCTGTGGGGACAAAGGAGCCCACCCACCCACACAGATACAGAGGAACAGAGGGTCCTGCACTCACACAGAGGTACATACACAGACAGGCACACAAGCACACATGCACACAGGCACATAAAGATACACAGACACAAATATACACATAGACCCGCCCACCCACGTGCACAGACATAAGTACACACACACAGATACAGACCTGCCTCCCCACCCACAGACACGTAGCCTCACAGACACAGCGGAACAAACGGAGGTGAGAGGCAGACACAGAACAGAAGGAAGAGTGAGAAACCCCAACCAAAGGCGGGGAATGGGGGTGGAGGGAGAGACCTAGGGACAGACACATTTTAAAAATGTTAATAAGTCATTTTATTGGGGACCCTTACAGCTCTTAAAACGATCCATACATCCATTGTGTCAAGTACATTTGTACATATGTTGTCATCATTTGAGTCCTTGGCATCAGCTCATGGCTTTTCGCCCTCCTCCATCCCCCCATCCTCACGAACCCTTGACATGTTATAAATTGTTATTTTTACATGTTACACCATCCACTGTCTCCCTTCATTCATGGTTCTGTGGTTCGTCACCCAGTGGTGGTGGTGTTATATGTCTATCATTGTCATCCATTCCCCCTTTCTTCCTCCCACCTACCCTCATGGTATCGCTCTCCCCATTATTGGTCCTGAGGGGTTTATCTGTCCTACGTTTTGTGTGTCATGAGCTATTATCTGTACTAGTGTACGTGTTCCGGTCTAGCTGGATTTGTAAGCTGGAACTGGGGTTGTGATAGTGGTGTGACAGGGAGGCATCACCGAGCTAGAGGAAAGTTGTTTCAGGGGTGCTGTGCTGCACCCTCACTGGCTCGTCCATTCCACGTGACCCTTCTGTGAAGGGGTGTTGCAGTTTGTCGTCGGGCTTCAGGAGGGCAGGTGCTGGGTGGAGACAGCTGACTGAGGTCTGGGACAGCTGCTGATGCTGCCTGGCTTCTGATCTCAGAGTCCTGTCCTACTGGATGCTCATGTCGCATGGCGATGGTCCCCAGAAGCAGAGCCTGGGAGGGGCAGGCCGTACAGGCTTGGGAGTGAACGCTACCTCCTCTCCACAGGTCGTATCCGAAACACCCCGGAAACGGACGAGTCTCTGATCGATCCCAACATCTTGTCTCTCAATATCCTGTCATCTGGGTACATGCACCCGGCCCAGGACGACCGGTGAGTCCCCTACCCCACGGGCTTCTGTCCCCAGTTCCTGTAGCAGCCAGGCCTGGTGGTCATGCTTGTCTGCAGCCATGCTCACTTAGTGGGCATGGGTGATGAGGCCGTGGGTGGTGGACACACTCAGTCCCATCCCAGACGATGGTGCACACAGACTCTGTGGCCCAGGAGAGGCAGGGCCCTGGGGCACTAGGAGGAGGTGTCCTTGCACCCAGCAGCCTGGAGGCCAGGGCCTCCTGGCTGTCTCTGAGGGTCCTGGTGAATTGGACAGAACAGGTCTTGTGGCTGGAGCCCTCTCTGGGCCTCGCTTGCCAGGTGGTCAACGTGGTTTGGCCAGGGTTTGCAGGGTGGATGTACGAGGGGACTGGGTTCTGAGAGGGAGGGGTGACTGCAGCTGTCTATCCGTTAAGATGGCTGTCTGGGACCACCACCTGCAGAGCAGTCTCCCTAGGAGTGGGGAGATAAGATAGGCCAGCTTGGGGCAAGTCCTACCCCTTATCCCTCGGAGTGACATGGGGCCACTCGGGGCAGGGCCAGCTGCACCCAAGCTTGCAGGAAAAGTGTCTTTGAGGGTCCACTGTGTATGGAGGGCCTAGGAAGGACCCTTCCCCAGAGGGGAAGAACATCAAAGCCTGGTCCAGCTGGAGCTTGGTCTCCTGGACCTGGGACCTCTCAGCATCAGGCGGGAGCGGGCCGTGGGGAGCCAGTGAGGTGGGCGTGAGAGGCAGTGGGCAGAGCATTATGGGGCCCAGGAACCTTGCAGAAGAGGTCACCTGCTACCCATGTATAGAGGGTAGGGGGGTTGGAATGGGAGATGTTCCACATGTGGAAGCTGAGCACTGCACAGGGGAGCAGAAGGCCTGGGGCCCATGGGGCCTCCTGTAACCTGGGGGACAGCAGAGTTCTGCACACATTCTGACAGAGCCACGCAGGGCTGGTGGGCCATGGGGCAGGGTCTTCCTGCTGGAGCCCCCAGGTGACCTGGGTATCCCCTGGACACTGACCCTTCCTCTACCCAGAACTTCCTGGTGTTGGGGAGTCAGGGAAGGGATGGGGTGGTGGGTGCCTGCTGAGGTTAGCCTGGCCAGCACCTGAGTCTGAGAGTAACTTAGGACACAGCGACTGGGGGGCCACTCCTGGGCTGTGAGGACCCCTGGCTAAGCAGCCTGTCACTGAAGGGGCTTCCCTCCTGCTGAAGAGCTGTGAGGGGTAGGATCCACCTGCTGGACAGCTCTGGAGCTGGCCTAACCACCGTGGCAGTGGTCAGCCCGTCCAGGGGCAGAGGAAACCTGTATCAGTTGGGAGAGACTGGCCCACATGACAGCTCTGGGCCAGTCTGACCTAGTGGGGGTGGTCTGCTCCTTGCCCAGGGTCAGAGGAAGCCTGCAGAGGTGGGACAGAGACTGACCCACAGTCCTTTGGGCTCTCCCTGGTTTGGCTCTGTCCTCAATGGTGCTGCCCCAATACCTCCACCCCCAGCCCTGCCCGCCCCCCAGGGCCACCCTGCACAGTGTTAGCTTGTCTGGCCAGGCCCTACACACCTCCCACAGCCCCCTGCTGGGCTCATGGCTGTGCTGGGGCTCTGGGGGACTGGCCTTCCTCAGCCACAGCCATCAGGACCCTAGCCACGCCTGCCCTCCGCTTTGCCTGGCCCGGCCCTCCCTGCACGCACACTGTGGTCCTGCCCGAATGGCCCTGCCACTGCCCTCCCGCCTGCCTGTCCCCTGCCCGCGGCCACCTGGCTAACTGTGGTTGTTTGTGTTTTGCAGGCAGTTTCTTGATTCGGACCTGCCTAGGTACCACTGACCACCCTCCAGCCCCTGCTCACAGCCTCGCTCTTCTCAGGCCTGGGTCAGGCGTCCCTGACACACTCGCTCACTCACTCGCCTTCTCTCTCCCTGCACTCTTCTCTGCCACCTTATTGCCCCGCCACCCTCACCTGAGCCCCGCCCCACACTGCCCTGGTTGCTGTGTAGTGCCCATTGTCCTTATGGACTCTCTGGTCCCCGCTCCCTGCCCTGTTCTGCATGTGGGCCAGGCTGCCTAAGGCCACCCCTGGCTGAGGACCATCCCCCATGCAAGGTGAAAGAGAAAAGCAGGGGCCTGGGGAGGCGGGAGGAGTTAGAGCAGGGTCCCCTGCCTGTGAGGCCCTTGGTGGCTGGCTGGGCAGGGCCAGTGCCCTCGCCTTGCATTTGGGAGGGTTGAGGCCAAATGTCACTGGGTTCCTGAGGAAGAAAGGGAGGTGACAGGCACCACCAGCTTCTCAGGGGTGGTGCTATAGCACCTTTGCTATAGTGAGGAGCAGACCCTCAGCTGGAAAGCTGCTGGAGCGGGCCTGTCTCTTAAGGGTGGGCCACCAGCCAGGCAGCCCTGTTATGTCTTGGAGGGGGGTACAGGCTAGACAGCCCTATGAGTGCTCAGAGGCTGCTGTGGCCTGGAGAGGCCCTTAGGGCATCAGGCTGGGCTTCCTCCCACCTGTACCTCGGTGGCCACCTGTTTAGGAATGCCACTGCTAAAGGGCCCAGCCTGGGGGCCTGGGCCTGCTAGCCCTGTGGACCCAGGCCTTGTTAGCCTTGGGGGGCCTGGGCTGTGCTAGCGCCGTGGGCCTCTGTTAGCCTAAGGGGCTGGGCTGTACTAGCTCTAGGATCTCAGGTCTTGCTAGTTTGGCAGGTGGGTGGGGCAGACCCTCAGGTGAGACTGCGTCCCTGGGCCTGACTCCCAGAAGGAAACTGGACATGTAGCTGGAAATGGTGGTGGTGGTGAAGGTGGCGTGTGTGCCTTCCTGGGCAGGGGTAGGGGTGCGTATGGTGTGGGGGAGGGCTCCTTGGAGGAGGAACTTGCTGACTGGGCCCTGAGGGCACTGAGACTGGCCAGTGTGGCTGCACCCTGCTCAGTCAACCATCTGTTCTCGCTCTCTGCTGTCTGTGTTGAGTGGGTAGAATAGTGATGTGTAGGCAGGGCCCAGCACCCTGACCCGGACACTGGAAAGACTTCTGGGTAAAGCAAGCACAGGAATCCTGGGGCGGGTGGTGAGTGGGGAGGCGGGGGCAGCAGTGGAGGGCTGGGCAGAGGAGCTGCCTCTCCTTTGGATCAGGGCTTATAGCTGCCAGGGCTCTTGAGATCTGGGCTCCTTCCCAGCACCTGAGCAGGTGGGTCCTGGCTCCTCCCACACACCCCAGTAAGTGGGCCAGGCTCTTCTCCCACGCCTGAGCAGGTGCCCTGGCTCCCCCCACACACACACACACACTGCTCATGTGAGCTTCCAGCCCTACTGGACAGGTGCCCTGGCTATCCCCCCCCCACACACCCCTGCCCATGTGAGCTCGCGAGCCCGACTGGACAGGAGACCTGGGTGTGGCCTCCAGGACAGTTCAGAGCACAGGGAGGCAGAGAGCCTGAGGGCCTAGGCGACCTCCTGCCTGCCCCTTCTTCCCCTGAGTGCTTGGGGGTGGTCCAGGAATAAAGTGGGAGGCAGTGTGGCCCCAAGGTCAGGAGTGGACATAGAGCGGCAGGTGGGACGGGTCCTGGGCCACATGGTGGGCTCTGGCCTCTTGCTGGAGGTGCGGATGTGGGCAGGTGGCCAGACCTTGGACCATCTCCGTGCAGCCTGGCAGGGGGAGGGCTCAGTGAATGCCCCTGGGGCTATTCCCGAAGGGCCTGGCTCAGGGTGGGGGGTGGAGTGAGCATCATGACTTCGAGGGGCCGGCCGCCAAGGTCAGGCAGATTGTGTATAGTTGCTGCCCACACCTGTGGGATCTTCCCATGTGCCCCCTGTCACTGGGTCATGAGGCACCACCATGTCTGGAGGTGCCCCTGGGCTCAGAGGGCAGGTAGCCGTGGGGTGGCAGTCAGTGCCCCACGAGTCTCCGATGTCCTGACACTCGTTTCTGTGTGTTCCGTGCTGCTTCTGATTTAGTGTGTCACTTGGAAATGACACTAGGTACACTCCACTTTTCTCTTCCACCCTGCCTGCCTGACTCTGCTTCTTAGAGCGCTCCCCCCCCCCTTGCCCCTGCCCCTGTCCTCCCTCCTTGGAACTCTTCCTTGGGATGGGTGGGAGTGGCCCACGCTGTCCCTGTGTCCCTGGCCTGGCTACGGAGTAGATGGTGGCATGGAGCTGTCTGTGTCCTAGTGAGGCCATGCCCGGGACCCCTACTGTGGGAAGGGCCTGGCCGTGCTGGGGTTGACTTGTCTGAGCTGTGTCCTGGTGAAGATGCTCTGGTGGAAACTGGGGGCGCTGAGGGGCCTCTGGGGCTGCAGGCAAATTTTGAGCCCCACACGAATGGCAGCCTTGGAGCACCTGGCCACCCCCAAACGACTGATAGGTGTGGCTGCTCAGCAAATGGGTTGAGGGTAGAGCCCCCCAGGGTGCCTCAGAAGAAAGGTCTGGTAGGCTGGGTCCTAACAACCAGTCGCAGCAGCCCTGTGGGGCCCAGTTCTAACTTGGGGCACACAGGGGCCACCGTGAACCCCAGCATCACAGCAGCTGGCTTTGCTGGCTGCTGGAACTGAATGGGACAGAAATGATGGCCTTTCAGGCAGCCTTGTCCCCAAGAAGCTCCACTTCTGCTCCATGGCTCTTTCAGGGACAGAGAGAGCTGGCTTCTCAGCACTGGGCAGAGGCCCCTGGCTCCCACTTGGTTTCCACTCACAGGGCCCTTCTCCCGGAGGCCTGGGTCTTCCACTGAGGGCGGCGGGGTTGGGCCATGCAGGGGCTCCGCCCGCCCAGGCCAGGCAGCCTCATCTGGGGGCAGATGAAGGTACCCCCTTACTCACACAAAGGTCAGCTTGGCCTGGGCTGCCCAGCCTCCTCCCAGTCATCCTGCCTCTCACTCCTCTCCCCTCCCTTCTCTGCTCATTCCTCCCAGGTAGAGCTGTGAGGACTGACCAGTCCCCCAGACCCCTGAACTCCTCCACCATGTCTGTCCGTCACATGACAGTCCCTCCCGAGAGAGTGACCACATGGGTTACCCTTTGCGCCCTCTTTGCCTCACTTCTAGAACCTTCTACCAGTTCGAGGCCGCCTGGGACAGTTCCATGCACAACTCCCTCCTGCTGAACCGGGTCACCCCGTACAGAGAGAAAATCTACATCACCCTCTCCGCCTACATCGAGGCAAGAGACCCTGGGGCGCCCCAGCCACCTCTGCTCCAGCCTGGGGACTCGCTCGGGGACACCGGGTGCTGGGGATCCCTGGAGGGGGCCTGTGGGTGCAGTGGTTAAGCGCCCAAGTGTTCATCTTAAGGTTGGCTCCAGGACCCCACTAGCCACTGTTTGGGAGAAAAGCTTCCTGCTTCCTGTTCCCTGCTGCCTCACAGCCGCCCTGCTGGGCAGAGTGACTGCCCCCAGGGTCTCCTGGCAGCTCTCAGGTTGGCTGGTGGGGTCCGCGTGCTGGCTTGGCAGTGAGCAGCAGCTGCTCACCCATGCGCTGCTTCAGGAGCTGAGGGACAGCTATGCTGTCTTACGGGGTTGTGGGGAGTTGGGATGGCGTGACTCAGTAACAGGACTGGGGTGTCCTGGCCCTGGGTGGCCAGGACACACTCTTTCTGCAGGGCGTTACTCAGGTCCCCAAGCCCACAAATCTCCCACAGTGATGCCCAGACTGTTCTCCCTTCTTCATCGTGGGTGGTGGTGGTGGTGTGTGTATGTGTGTGTGTGGTCTCTAGGTCACAAGGTGACCACCAGCCATTGCATCCCTGATCTGGGCAGCTAAAGCTGAAGCACCCCCACATCTGGCCCCTGGTCCCGGGCTGGGGCAGGTCCTCCCTGGTGGCATAGGAGGCTTGCAGTGGGGCACTCTGGCAAAGCTGTAGTGAGGGGTGGCAGGGCTTGGGGTGGGCAGCAGCAAGATGGTGGATGGGGGCATCCTCCCAGGACACCTGGGCCTGACCTGTGACAACAGGGACAGTGTGTGAGTGGCACTGGGAGGGTGGTGCGGACCTGTGGGGGAGAGGGGCTTTGTGAGAGGTGGTGGCCCTCAACACCCTGAACCCTGGCAGCCCCTCCAGGGCACGGTGGTGGGCAGAGCCTTGCAGGCCCGGGCAGGGCGAGGCAGGGCGTGGTGACGCGGTCTGAGCCCGCCTGGCTTGCTGCCCGCCCCAGATGGAGAACTGCACGCAGCCCGCCGTGGTCACCAAGGACTTCTGCATGGTCTTCTACTCGCGAGACGCCAAGCTGCCTGCTGCCCGCTCCATCCGAAGCCTGTTTGGCAGCGGGAGCCTGCGGGCCTCCGAGAGGTGGGCAGGCGGGGGGGTTGGTGTCCTGGAGAGGTGGACTGGGGAGGGCGGAGAGACAGTCTCTAAGAGGGCCTTGGAGAGGGGGACGGGATTCCGGGTTCTTGTCCCTTCCCCCGGGTGCTCCTTGCCTTTGAGAACCCCAGGACTGGGATGCGAGGGGGCTGCAGTGTGGGGGTGACTGGAGAGGCCATTTGGGTGGTAAGGTGGGACTTGTGTCAGTGGACTAAGGGGACATGGGGGCTGCTCCTGGCCTGGGTGACATCATCCCCCCCTTCCCCAGTAACCGTGTGACGGGTGTATATGAACTAAGCCTGAGCCACGTGGCCGACGCAGGCAGCCCAGGTAGGTTCCCCTCTGTCCCAAGGGGGCGAGGACGGGGAATTGAAGGGCACCTGTTGGGGGGAAGGGTGGCAGGTGGCAGGTCTCTGGGACCTCTGGGCTGCTGATGGGTCAGACTATCTGGCTCCTGCAGCCTCTTTGGGGGCCTAGTGAGGGCAGAGTCCTCAGCCCCCTGCCTGATACTTTCTGAGTCCCCAGGACATGCGAGCGGCCAGATGTTGACCCTGGAGGGGGCAGGACAACAGCCGGGATGGGGGGCGGCCTCACAGCAACCACAGCAGCACTTATCCCAGGCACTCCTGTCCTCCACAGGGATGCAGCGCCGGCGCCGGCGGGTTCTGGACACGTCGGTGGCCTATGTGCGTGGAGAGGAGAACCTGGCTGGTTGGAGGCCCCGCAGCGACAGTCTCATCCTGGACCATCAGTGGGAGCTGGAGAAGCTCAGCCTGCTGCAGGAGGTGGGGCAGGAGGGGCTGGGGAGAGGCGAGTGGGAGAGAGGAGGGGCTGGGGGCATGGCAGATGAGGCAGTGTGGTGGGGGGCTAGGAGAGGGGAGGGCTGCATCCAGGGAATGGCTGGAAGGTGGGATAGTGAGGGGCTGGCGAGGTGGGACTGTACCTGATATCTGGGGGCCCTGGGGGACGGGTGGTGGAAGTGTTGGGTGCAGAGGGAGAGGTAATAGTAGGGGGCAGGAAGATGGTGGAGCATGGGGGACAAGGAAGGTGAGATCACACCTGGTGTCTGGGGGGCCCTGGGGGAGCACCTGAGGGCAGTTGGTGAAATGCCCTGTTGTCCCATCCCTGCCCCCACCCCAGGTGGAGAAGACTCGCCACTACCTGCTCCTGCGGGAAAAGCTGGAGACGGCGCAGCGGTCGGCCCCCGAGGCGCTGTCCCCAGGCTGCAGCGAGGACTCGGAGTCCCACAGTTCCTCGGGGGCCTCCTCCCCACTCTCGGCTGAGGGCCGGCCTTCCCCCCTGGACACCCCCAATGAGCGGCAGCGGGAGCTGGCCGTCAAGGTGGGGTGGACGTCTGGCACTGATGGAGTCTCCCAGTGGAGGGGAATGGGGGTTCTTTGAGTCGGATAGCTCCCTCTGCACCCTGCCCGGAGTTCGTGGCTTTGGACACCCCCCCCCCCCAGTAGATGGGGATCTCCAAGCTTCCACCATGGCTTTGCCCCATTGGACCCCACCCTGTGGTTGGCCTGCCTCTCCTCATCTCCCGGGGGAGGGGGAAGACTATGACCTTGACCTTATGCCTCTGGCCCAGGCTTTCTGTGGGCCTGGGGGGTCCTGATGGTGCCCCCCTGCCCACAGTGTTTGCGCCTCCTCACACACACGTTCAACAGAGAGTACACCCACAGCCACGTCTGCATCAGTGCCAGCGAGAGCAAGGTGGGTCGGGGGTCCTCTGAGGGCCTGGGGACCCGAGGTGGGTCGGGGGTCCTCTGAGGGGCTGCAGACCTGGCTTGGGGGTTTGGGGGGCCTAGAGACTGAGTTGAGTGCCCAGCAAGAGGGGGAGGCAGTGGGGCAGGAGGAGGGCGTGTCCACGCGGAGGGGTTTCCAGGCCCTCACAAGAAGCCTCTCTCCCTGACACAGCTCTCCGAGATGTCCGTCACTCTACTGAGAGATCCCTCCATGTCCCCTCTGAGTACTTCCACTCTCACTCCTTCTTCCACCTGCCCCTCCCTGGTTGAAGGGCGCTACAACTCGGACCTGAGGTGAGTGACAACCACCACACCTCTGCCCTGACTGGGCAGAGGAACTGTGCCCAACGCTCCCACCCACTGTCACAGCTAGACCCCCTTGTCCGGGCTTTCTGTTGAGCTCAGAGGAGCACTTTTCCACGGAGAGAAGCAGACCTCTCGCAGTCCCCTGGGCCCCACCCTCCAGCTTGTCCAGAGAAGGGACTGCTTTCCAATGGGTCAGTGCAAGAGCCCCCGCCCCAGCAATGTCTGGAGGCCCCAGGATCTAGGCACCCTCAGCCTGATTGCCCTGTTGCAGGGTGGGGTCCCTCTGCTCTGCAGCCTGCCTTTCCCCAACCGAGTGCCTTGCCCCACTTGCTTCCCAGGACCCCACAACTCTATCCCCGGCCGGTCAGCCCGGAGCCCGAGCCAGTGTCAGACGTGGACACCAAGAAGCCCCCCTCCCCTGCCCAGGCCCTGGAGGCCGACAAGGAGCCCCAGCGCCTGCTGGTGCCTGACATCCAGGAGATCAGAGTCAGGTGCGAGTCTCTGGGTCTGTCCTGGCAATTGGGGCGGTGGGGGCTGGAGGAGGCTCAGAGCCGGGCCAGGGCGCCTCCTACAGCTTTGGTATACCTAAACCCTGCCTCCACCCTTTCATCTGGGTTCAGGACTCAGGGGCTGGGTTGGGCTCTTGTTTCCTTAAGTCCCCCTTTACAGCTGGGAGACAAGGACTGGAGGCTCAGGGGCCCAGGGGAGACTTCTGCCGTTGGCCCTCTGCCCTTCCTTGGGCCTGGTCTAGTTGGGGCCCCACTGAGTGTCTGGATCACTTGACCAAGCCCCCCCCCCCCCCCCCCAACTGCCCTCAGCCCCATCGTGTCCAAGAAGGGCTACCTGCACTTCCTGGAGCCTCACACGGCCGGCTGGGCCAAGCGCTACGTGGTGGTGCGTCGCCCCTACGCCTACATGTACAACAGCGACCGCGACAGCGTGGAGAGGTTCGTGCTGAATCTGTCCACTGCCCAGGTGGAGTACAGCGAGGACCAGCAGGCCATGCTCAAGGTGAGCCCTGCTGGAGGGTTCCCAGGCCTGGGTGTGAGGGGCCAGGACCACCAGGGTTCCAGATGGGTCACAGCCTCACTCCTGCTTCCCTGCCCCTTCCGGGGGTGCCACTGGCCCCTGCCCCACTCAAGCCCGAGGCAGTGCTGACCAAGAGTCCCACCAGCTCCCGCCCTGCTTGCCGGGACCTGGGGGGTCAGTGCTCCTCAAGAGACTCAGAGTGCGCAACCCCATGCAGACGCCCAACACGTTTGCTGTGTGTACGGAGCACCGTGGGATCCTGCTGCAGGCCAACAGCGACAAGGACATGCACGACTGGCTGTACGCCTTCAACCCGCTGCTGGCCGGGACCATACGGTGCGTGCCCTCACCAGCCGGGACCACACCAAGGGCAGGGTGGGTGTCCTCCCCTGGGGACTGTGAAGCAGTGTTGGTGATGCCTCCTTTGTGTCCCCTTCCTTCCCTGGGGCGGCACCTCAGCAGAGCCCGGCTGTGTGTGGTGAGCTGTGGGGGGCTGTCTTAGGGACGCTGATGCTGCTCTGAGCCCAGGTCCCGGGGGAGAGCTCCCGAGTGTACCCCTTCCCCTGTGAAAGGCACAGGCCCTGGGCCTTTGGGGTCCCCTCTTCACTCATCCCTCCACTCACTGGCGCCGTTAACGGTAAGGTGTGGGCACTTGTCGAGACAGAGTCAGCCCTGGTATCGGAGCAGGGCCTGCAGTGGTGTGAGCTCTGACTGAAAGCACACAGAGAGGGTCACTACCACACAGGGGCGCTGAGGAGGAAAGGCCTGCTGGTTCCCAGCCGAGGGGCACCCCGCTGTGCCCGTATAGGGAGTAATGTGGATGTGAGTTTTCCTGGAGGGAGGGCCTGAAGGGTGAGCAGAAGGGGGTACAGGCCCCCCCTGACGGTCTCCCCCCTCATGCAGCTCCAAGCTCTCCAGGAGGCGGTCTGCCCAGATGCGGGTCTGAACGGAGCCACAGTCCTCCCCCCACCCATACGTGTCTTGTCATGTCGCCAGCCCTGCCCTCCAGACAGCGGACCGCCTGAAACACCTCATCCTGGGAAGAAGCCCCTGGTCTCCCCGCCCAGCTGAGCGGCAGCCACACGACCCCTGTGCTCACGGCTGCATTGTGTTTCTGGTGGTTTCTCTGGGGGGAGTAGGGGGAGGGAGGAGGGTGTGCGGGTTGGGGGGAGGGAACTGCCGGTCTAATATTTTTTTAAGGATAGACAGACTTCTAATTCATGTATCGCCCGTTAGTGTCCCTGAAGCAGCCCCGATGCTAACGACCCCAGGGTGTGTTACGAGTGTTTGTATCCGATGCCCTCACTGACCAGAAGACCCCAGCCCCTTTCCTTGCCCCCTGCCCCACATGCCCCATCTGTCCTCACAATCACCCCAAGACAGGGAGAGTCAGGGTAGGGTGGGCCAAGGTTTTGTCAGACCGGCGGAGTGAGGAGCCTCGGGGGGTGGGGTGCTGACAGGGGACCTCGGCTTGTCCCTGCACTGCCCAGGGTGCGTGTGTGTGTGTGTGTGTGTGTGTGTGTGTGTGTGTGTGTGTGTGTGTGAACAGCAATGTATGCTTCCAGAGTGGAGGCCAGGACTCAGACGAGGTGGGTGGGCCTGACCCCTGCACTGCCCAGTGTGTGTGTCTGGGGAGGGACAGGGTAGGCGATGAGGCAGGGCCTGGGGCCTCTCCCCTGTACGGTCCCTGGGTGTGATAAGCAGGGGACCACAGGGACAATGGGACACTGCTGCTAATGTTAATGGAGGCAGGGTCCACATCCCCTCTGGACGTGTCTGGTGAGTAACAGGGCTGTGGGGTCAGCGAGCAGGCTCTGTTAGAGGACGTGAGGGCCTGGGCATGGCCAGTGGTGTGGCTGGGCCAACCCCCACCAGGCCATCCTGGGGACGGCGTCTGGCTGAGGCAAAGCTGTGCAGTAGCAGGAGCGGTGGCCCAGTGCTGAGGGTGGTCAGGGCAGCAGATGGGAAGGGGGATGGGCTGGCTGGGAGCCTGTTTCCTCCTCTCGCCCACGGAGCACGTGCAAGCACGTGAGACGCCCTCCACAGAGGACAAAGAGCTGCCTGCCCCAGGGGACGGTCCCTAGAGCAGAAGGTCCAAGGGGCTCAGGTCAGCCAGCCTGAGCCCCCCTCCAGGACATAGGTGTCTGAGGCCAGCCAACCTACAGAGCACCTGCAACCTGGGGGTGGGGTGGGACGTTCCACAACTTGGTGGCACCTAGACGTTGGCACGGGCTGGGGCAAGGATAGCCCTTCGGAACTGCCAAGTGCCCGCTTCAGTCTGGCACCACAGATGGTTCACCTCTGTCCCTGTGGCTGGGCCACTCTGGAGGCAGAGGGCACCAGGAACCCACGCAGGTGATTGAGGGGAGTCTTGGGCACCGCCCCCTGTGCCTGTGAAGAGGAGGATCCCAAGTGGGGTGCTGGTGGGAGGTGGGCAGACAAGGGTGTCCAGACTGATCCCCCTGTGGAGTTTGACATTGAGTTTGCCCAGGCTGTGGCCACACCGTGGTTTGAGGGTAACTTCCCTAAGGTTGGGCTGGGGGACAGTGCTCGGTCCCTGAGGGGGTGCATCTTCCAGAGAGCCAGTGACCCGTGGGGGTCCCAGAAGAAGGGGGTGCTAGACTTTAGCCTGAGTGTTCAGACCAGTCCTCCTCACAGACCCCTGGTTCATGCAGTCACCCAGCATCCCCCTGCCACCCTCAACACCCCCACCCCACTTGGGGTCCTGGAATGTGTCAGGGCAAGAGCAGATGGGTTGCAGGCTCCACACAGGTGGCCCCTCCCCAGTAGGTTTTGCCTCCTCCCTCCCCTGCCGGCCACACCCTCACTTGTACATATGTGAGCGCCCGCCTCCCCTGTCTCTGAGGCCCCCTGTCTCCCGTGTTGGGCTGTGGCCGTCCTGTGTGCTGCTCCCAAACCCTGTCCAGTGAGAAATAAACATGACTTACACAGTATGAGGTTCTGGGTGTTGTTACTTGGGGCGGTGCAGACAGCTGGAGGCACCCACCTCCCACCTGGGCCCACGCACTTGTCCCTGCCCCCCAGGGGCTCCGTCTGAGGGGTGTTGTGACTGTGCCCATAGCCATGGCTGGGTCATGGAGGATAACAGCCCCAGCCAACACGGGCACCGGGCAGGGCCTCTTCCTCAGGCCCTGGGCCACTCAGACATGGCTGGCCTTCCTCAGTCTCCCTGGCCAGTGGCAGTAGGTGTCAGCTGTCCATCAGGAAGGGCCACCTGGGAAGTGCCCCATCCTGATCAGTTGGATCATGGGGTCTGGGGCTAAGTGGGGCCAGTGGGGAAAAGGTACCCCTCAGGTGAGGGCCTGGCACTCAGGCTTGGGGTGGGGCAGCAGCAGAGGGTGACACCTGGCGACTCAGGCCAAGGGTGGTGGGGGAAGGTTACAGGGTCAGGGGTTCGCTGGGGCTCCTGTCCAGTGGTCCCCAAGGCTGAGATCAGCCCCTGGAGATGGCCCAGCCCAAACACCGGTGAGGGCCACTTGGGAGTGGGCTGGCGCTGTTAGGGGTGCCGAGGCCAGAGTCCCTAGACCTTGCCGGAACCAAAAGCAACCACATCATGTGTGGGCAACTTTGGCACAGGGGTGTGGGGACACCTTATAGGAGGCGGGGAGGGTCCCTTGTGCTGTTGGAGTGAAGTCTGAGGACAAGGTGCCACCTACATCAGTGCCCACCCATTAAAGGACACCAGAGGCCACTCCCAGTGGTGCCCATTAATGGAAGAAGGCCAGGCCCAACACGGAGTTGGCGGCAGAGCCAGCCATGGGGGATGGGGACTGTGTGCTCCATTGTTCGGGGTCCTTAGGGGGACAGGTGGCTGAGTGCAAATGGGAAGAGGGTGAGCAGTAACAGTACCTTAAAGGGGTGACTGCGCCCCAACCTCACGCAGGACCGGGGTACAGATTATCCCAGACGGAAGCTCAGGCCCTTGTGGCACAGTGGGTCACATACTGGCGTAAGGTTCACAGTTTGAACCAACCAGCTGCTCTGTGGGAAGAAGGTGCAGCTGTCTGCTCCCCTTGAGACTGGGCCTGGGGCAGGGGCAGCGG